CAAGTTATAATTCAAAAAGTAATAAACGCTGAAACAGAGGTTCTGGGAAAAGAATAGGAAAGGAAGTGCCTGCTTTGCCTCAGGGGAACAGAAACATAACAGGGAAAGTGACGTTTGCAATGAGTCTTGAAGAATGAATAACAACTATTCAGAAAAAAAGAAAAATGCAGACAGGCACTCAGCAGTGACAACACCCCGAACAGAGAGAGGATGTCCAGGGACAGCCCGGGAGCCAGGCGCGGCTGGAGGAGAAGGCTCTCCTGTTCCTTTCCATGCCACTGGCTTCTTTCTTCCAAGCGGCTGCCACTGACAGCAACCACGCTGCACTGCCCGGCTCCTACTCCATCTTCCTGCTTTCCTATCTTCTCCCATAGTCAGTTGTGTCCTCTGTCCTCGGACTTCCTTCCCTCTCCTCCCATTCCCCAGCTCCCTTGCAGGCAGGGTATGGCTCCACAGGCTTGGAGCTTAGCTTGGTGATGTGTCTTTTTTTTTTCTTTCTTTCTTTTTTTGACAGGCGGAGTGGACAGTGAGAGAGAGAGACAGAGAGAAAGGTCTTCATTTGCCGTTGGTTCACCCTTCAATGGCCACTGTGGCCGGCGTGCTGCAGCCGGCGCACCGCGCTGATCCAAAGCCAGGAGCCAGGTGCTTCTCCTGGTCTCCCATGGGGTGCAGGGACCAAGCACTTGGGCCATCCTCCACTGCCTTCCCGGGCCACAGCAGAGAGCTGGCCTGGAAGAGGGGCAACCGGGGCAGAATCTGGCGCCCCGACTGGGACTAGAACCCGGGGTGCCAGCGCCGCAGGCAGAGGATTAGCCTAGTGAGCCGCGGCGCTAGCCTAGCATTTAGTTTTAATTACAGATTCAAGGTCAACAAGGAAGACTGTTCAAACATCACACTCCTGCCCTCAAAAACAACACCCAAAACCCTCCAGGGAAGCTCAAGAGTGGAGCATCCCAGGAAAAGAGAACAGGTTAAACAAAGTTTTTTTTCCCTTTCAGGAGCAAGGTCTTTGCATGCCGAAAACGCCTCTCAACAACTGCACCAGCTCCATGTGTGACCTGACCCCAGAGGGCAGTCCCTCTCTTCACTCCCATGCACAAATAACAATAAAAATGTTGGCTGGTCCACCAGCACCCTCAATTCAGCGGCGCACTTAACCACTGCCTCTCATGTTCCCACCACTCTCCTGAAATTCCCCAGGACGGCTCACCAAGAGGCAGCAGCAAGCGTTACTCTCACAGTGGCACACATTAATAATCATTCAGTGTGGTGTCACACGAGCCCGGAGGCTCTGGGCTGAATTTATTTGAAAAAATAAAGTGTGTGTGTGTATGTGTGTGTGTGTGTGTGTGTGTTCCTCCCCAAAGATCTTTACTTAAGTCAGCATGGAACTCTTGTAAAGATAACTACCAGTAAGTCACAACTACTTGAGGAGCGCTCTCATTACTTTTTTAATTCGCTGCTCACCATGACAACATAATAAACACACCTTCAGAGGTTCACGTGTGCCCAAGAATTGAAAATGTCACAGGTCCTCCTTCCTGGGGCTCGCAAGCATAAACTCAACTCTTTTTTCTGAAATTCTAGTAAAACATCCATTTTCAACTGCAAGAGACTACTAATAATTCTATGGTAAGTTAGCAAAGCAAGCCTTACTTTGTAACATCCTAACAATTACGGAACTTTTTATTTAAAAAGAAAAAATTCAATATGGTTTCGACATCTGTTTTTTCTATTTGTGTTTAGAGTTCTGTTCGATGTTCCTGTATCCTTTCATAAATGACTAATAGAAAAGATACAAGACTAATAGGAAACACAGCTTTGTGTAAGTTCGGTGACGGTTGGTTTCAGTTAACAGCTGGTCTTTAAACTACCCAACATAAAAGCATACATTTTAAGGAGAAAAACTGACCCCAAAACTGCTTCATAAACCAGAGTATTTCATTTTTCAAAGCTTCAAGGGAAAGCCCAAGTGTTCTGTTGTATGTGTGTTTAAAAAAGGGAAAGTTAAAAAAGTCTCTACTTTTAAATATCAGAGACAAGAGATTTTTACAATACAAAAAGTGTCAGAAATAAAACTCCCTTCATAGTTATATAAAGAAGTGAGCCTCTGTAGAAATGTTTTTTCTTCCCACAGTGAAGTACCAACCCAAAATCTTCGCACAAACAGCCATGGTTCCTCTGCAGTGGTGCCGAGAAACCCAAAACAGCCAAAACTTCAGGTGCTGTGAGCTCAGCTCAGCCTCAGGGTTTCCCTCTGCCACCAAGAGCTGAGACAGGACAAGAAGCAAAGTGTGCTGTTCAGTTTCTCACCATCCTCCTGGCAAATGGGAGCCCCTCCCCAGATGCATGAAAGATGTGACTTCTGGATCCAAGTGATGTTTCCCCTTCCCCATCCTTTAGCCTCTACAGCAATGACGATCTTCTAAAGGTGGGGTGGGGTGGAGGCTGAGAAAACGTTAATTGACTGCAAGAATGCCTAACGGTGGGCCGGCGCCACGGCTCACTAGGCTAATCCTCCGCCTTGCAGCGCCGGCACACCGGGTTCTAGTCCCGGTCGGGATGCCGGATTCTGTCCCGGTTGCCCCTCTTCCAGGCCAGCTCTCTGCTGTGCCTAGGGAGTGCAGTGGAGGATGGCCCAAGTGCTTGGGCCCTGCACCCCATGGGAGACCAGGAGAAGCACCTGGCTCCTGCCATCGGATCAGCGCTGTGCACCAGCCGCGGCGGCCATTGGAGGGTGAACCAACTTCAAAGGAAGACCTTTCTCTCTGTCTCTCTCTCTCTCACTGTCCACTCTGTGCCTAACGGGCAGAGAGTCCTGGAGAAGCAAAACCCACCTCTCACTAGGAGCTACTTGCTCAGGACCATCTCTGTGGAGCCCGCCAAGTCCTTGTATCCCAGGAGTGGTTTGCTTTGCCCAACAGGGATAATGGGCTTTTCAGCACTTTTGCCAAATTATTGACAGAGGACCTATTTCCTCTTCCCGTGAAAAGAAACTGATAGTGACAGATGCAAGAGAATAACTTTAACCACTAAATTATACATTGCCAAGAAAGGACAGATGAATGAAACTCCCACATAATACCCTCCCACATTCCTTCCCAGCCAAAAGTTTGTAAGGATGGCCAACAAGTCGCAAAAATATCAGCCCCGAATTTTTTTTTTAATTTTTCATGGCCTTACTATGGCCTTTTGAACTTATTATTTTTTCATTAATATACCAGTTAGGGGCATAGTTAACATATCGTAGAATCAGGAAAAGCCAAAATATTTCACTGCAGTGCCCTTGCATTTTTTTTTTATTTGACAGATAGAATTAGATAGTGGGAGAGAGAGTCAGAGAGAAAGATCTTCCTTCCTTTGGTTCACCCCCCAAATGGCCGCCATGGCCGGCGCTGTGCCGATCCGAAGCCAGGAGCCAGGTGCTTCCTCCTGGTCTCCCGTGCGGGTGCAGGCGCCCAAGCACTTGCGCCATCCTCCACTGCCTTCCCGGGCCACAGCAGAGAGCTGGACTGAAAGAGGAGCAACCAGGGCTAGACCCTAGTGCCCATATGGGATGCTGGCACTACAGGCAGAAGTCTAACCAAGTGAGCCACGGTGCCGACCCACACCCTTGCATTTTGCTGAGACTCAATTAACTACACAACTTGCTCCAACAGGGATAACATTCACAAAGTAACATTTGTGTGTATTTTCCCATAAGCATAAACACTACCATTGTCTCTGGTTCTTAGTCACTGATAGTTTTCCCAGTAATCTTTGTGCCCAACACATTGTCATGCACAGGTGAATGGTTAATAAATACCACTGGATGATGGATGTGCTCAATTACAGAACATTCAAAAATCCCCCACTTTTTAAGTCTCCCAAACAGCAAAACTGTTGTAGCCTTTATGTCCAGCTGAACTCCATGCCTGATTAATTCATCTCAAAAACTCACAAATGTGTAATCAAAGCTTAGAGAGCACTTAAAACTGCGTTTCACGCCAGCCTGCCTAGAACACAAAACGCAGAATCAAAGTTGAATGCAAGGTGCACTAAAATGCATCCTGGAGCTGGTCTTTCTCTTCACAACATCAACATTCAAGTGAGGCATCCTTAGCCAACAAGAAAACTGAGATTTCAAAATCCAAATGATCTGATCTTCACTAAACAAGATAATCCCCACCCCCAAATCCACATTACTTAACATCCCCATCCAGGATCCTCCAAAATGAAAGAAAGCATATGTGCACGCATGCACGCACACACACACACACACACACAAACACACACACACTATTCAGAGCAGACTGATTTAATACCACCAAAGTTTTGGCAGTTAACTGTCGTGTGTTGTGAGCAAACGCCCAGCACCATTCACAGCCAGGTGTTCCAGGTGCATGGCCGACGTGTTCACACCAACAACTTATCATTAAGTGCAGATCAGCTGGTGCCAACCTGCCCCCAGAGAAGCGTGGTGTGCCCAGGCTCAGAGGACCAGGAACAGGGAATGTGTCTTGCTTTAGAACAAAAGAATTTGTTTTATCGCTCGCCTTTACCGCTGCAGAAAATGGCTTGTGGTGTGTGGAGCTCATGATAAATGTGCCCCCTCGAGTTCTTTATTACCTCTGTAAATCACAGGACTGACAGCAGTTAATAAGAAAAGCTTTTGAGTGGTTTTGAAGTTTTGCTTTGTACAAATAAAGTCTCATATTAAAGATTTTGCCAGTCCTCAAGGTGTAGAAAAGGCAGCGCGAGGAGACCTTCCCTACCTTTAACCGTTTGTCTCCTTGTTCTCATCTTCGAAACAAAAAAGAAAGACAAGAAAACCTCTCAGACACACATGAGCGAAGTGTGGATCTTCATGTCAACAGCGTCGCGTCCTCACAGCACTGCCCGTGCTGTTGGAATTACGATCTCTTCTGGATTTTGTAAGCTGGATATTCAGATAAATACCGGAAAAGCTATGCGGTGGAAAGAAAGGCCGTTACAGGCGATTTATTATTAGGCTTCTTTACCTCTTTCAGCCACAGCAAATTTTGATTTGGCGTCAAGGAGGAGGATTCAGTCCCACCGAATCCATCAGCTGCTGGTTCCACTGCGGGTCGTGGGATCCTGAAATTCATGGTTCAGAATATAATTGACATTAAAAGGACGAGCCAAGCTGTCTCTCTGAGTAGCCTTTTCCCCCAGGAAGCTCGAACACTGTGCCACAACAGCTTCCCAAATCCTAAGGGGCAGACTACAGGTTTGTCCTTTCTTAGGAATGAAGCTGGGACACAAAAAGGCCAGGAGCGTCTTTTCCGATCACCGCTAAGTCCTCCATGCAGCCAGAAACAGAGTATGCTTCTCACCAGCCCACTCTTACTTCACAGCACACAAAATGCAAGTTTTGAATACATTTTCCTGACAACACCTACTCAGCAGAGTAGAGAAAGGCTAGCGACCTAGGGTGAGTGTTTGCCTTCACCATGAAGACACCATGTCCCAAACTAGAGTGCCTGAGCTCCAGGCTCGGCTCCAGCTCCTGATTCCAGCTTCCTGCTACTGCAGACTCGGAGGCAGCAGTGATGGCCCCCGAAGCTGGGCCCCTGCTCCCCACATGGGAGACCTAGGTTGAGTTCCCAGCTCCTGGTTGCAGCTTCGGCCCAGCTCTGGCTGTTGTGGGGATTTGGCAAGTATTCCAGTAAATGATATAACTCCTTTCTGCTTCTCCTTTCTCCTTTCTCCTTTCTCTTTTCTCCTTTCTCCTCTCCTCCCCCCTCCCCTCCCCCATCATTTCTATCTCTGTGTCTGCCTTTCAAATAACAAAAGATAAATAACTTTTTAAAAGTCAGTCACCTGTATAAACTGGCTGAACAACCGTTTATACACAAGAAACTGACCAGTGTACAATCTGCAATTCAGCTTCACTTTGTCCCAAGCAACAAAAGCAAATAAAAATCAAATTTTCAAATTATCTATTTGTGACATTTGCTTCTTGGTAGACATAAAAGAGGCAAGGCACTAGCTAATTTTAATGTAGATTGCTGCAGGATCCTAATTAAGTACACATCTCAAAGTTTTTTGAAGCACACATTTTATACATGTAAGACCTTGATTTTTTTTAAAGATCTACTTATTTTTATTTATTTAAAAGCAAAGAGACAGCAACACAGAGCGATCTCCCATCTGCTTGTACAAGCCCCAAATGCCTACAGCAGCCAGGATTGGGCCAGGCCAAAACCAGGGAGCCAGTAACTGCATGGGTCTCCCACATGGGTGACAGAGGCCCAAGTACTTGAGTCATCACTTGCTGTCTCCAAGGGTATGCATTAGCTGGAAGCTGTGTGAGAAGCAGAGTCAGGTCTCAAACTGGGCACTCTAACATGGGATGCAGGCATCCTACACCGCAGTTTTAACCACTGCACCACCATCCCTACCCCTAGGATTTCATTAAATGACATCTTACTGAATCAGAACGAGTGTTCTGGTGGCTTTCTCTCCTGTCCATGGTTGGCTTTACCCTAGTCTAACTCTGACCAGTTCTCTTCAAGGCAGATTTTCTTAACCTACCATTCCACATACACAAAAATGAGCTACAGTCGGTCTTCCAGACCTCTCTGTTAACATTTCCAGTCTAGTCTGGGGGTTGTCTGAGGCCACCAGCATTAGCAGAGCTTGTGTAGCTCAAACTCAGTGTCAGCTGTTGAACTTCTAGAGACAAGAAACATATGTGTGGTCGCCCCCTCCACTACCCTCTGCTTGCACGCAGAGATCATACCCCGAGGCCCAGAACTCTCCTGCTGTCGTGAACGCCTATGAAGCAAGGGCATTTATTCTGGAGGGGAAACCCAGGTTCCATCTACATTATCAGGATGAATTTTCTTGTGTCTCTGGATTCACTAGGAAAAGGTCCCTGGACAGTCCCTGGTCAAGGTCCCTGGAAGGAAAGGACTCGTGTGGAGGGTGTCAGCTCCATCCAAATGTCACACAGGTATGGTCAAGCACAGTGTCTACTTGCTATGGTTCAGATGTGGTTTGACGGAGTCCCTCAAAGGTGTGTGTGTTGGAAGCTTATTCCCCAGTGTGATGATGTTAGAGGTGCTGGGATGTTTAAGAGGTGGGACCCGGTAGGAAGTCATTAGGTCACTGGTGGTGTCCTTGTGATGCCCCACCTCTCTCCGGCTTCTTCTCTTGCCGGGTGATCTCTCCCTCTCACATGCGCTCCTGCCATGATGACATCCACCGTGATGCAATGCAGCTACAGGAGCCCTCGCCAGAATCAGTGCTATACTCTTGACTCTGAACATCTAGAACTGAGAGCTAATAAACCTCTCCTCTTTATAAAGCACCTAACCTCAGGCTCCTCATTAAAGTAACAGAAAATGAACTAACACAGCTCCAAGAGAGTCTCTCCCATAGGCTGATAACACAATAAATTGATAAGGTAAAATGGACACTAAGTCCCATGGGCATTCACGATTTCCTGGGGTTATGTGCAGTAAGACTCACAACCAAAGGATCTGGTGACAGATCTGGGTGCAAATCCAAGCTTAGCCACTTTCTAGCTTTGTGACCTTGCAAATAATATACTCTACATCAATCTCATAGGATTGGTGTACCTATGATAGGACTTATAACACAGTTAACATGCCCCCACAGTGCAGGCCCCTGGTAAGTTACTCATTAATTTATTAAACAAATATGCATCAAGAAGAGTGCTTTGGGGCCGGCGCTGTGGCGTAGCGGGTTAAGCTGCCCCCTGCAGTGCTGGTATCCCATATGGGCATCAGTTCAAGTCTCAGCTGCTCCACTTCCCAGCCAACTCTCTGCTATGGCCTGGGAACGCAGCGGAAGATGGCCCAACTCCTCGGGCCCCTACACCCGTGTGAAAGACCCAGAGGAAACTCCTGGCTCCTGGCCTCAGACTGGCACAGCTCTGGCCATTGAGGCCATCTGGGGAGTGAACCAGTGGATGGAAGATTCTCTCTCTCTCTCTCTCTCTCTCTGCCTCTGCCTCTCTGTAACTTTGCCTTTCAAATAAATAAATAAGAAAAAAATTTCAAAAAAAAGAGTGCTTCACACAGATCATTTCATTTAATCCTCAATCCTCACAGCAATTTGATGATTAACCCTTTTGAAAAAGAGGGGGATATTTTAAAAGATATCCCAGTCCCCAAGGGTCTTGGCACCTCAGTAGAAAGAGCAGATGAGCCTGGGCTGTAGCCAGAGCACAGACCTGCAGCAAGTTGCCACCAGAGAGACCCAAGCAGCCACCAAGCCGGGAGAACATCACCAGGGAGCAGGACGGGACCTGCCAAGGAAGACTTTTCTGGCTCTTACCCTTCCTCTCTCCCCCTCAAAGCCTCTACCCTGGAGGGAGAGGGGTGGGAGGAGAAGCACAGGAGGGACAGGGGGTCATCAACCCACCCACACCCCAGCCTGGAGCACCACCAAGCTGAAGGAGAAGAGTGGCTGGAATGTTGAAAGAAGGTTGGCGTATCACTGGACTGGTCACTTTTATTACAGAAATTAGATTGTTCTTATGACGAGAAGTAACCAAAGTATATTTTTATTAAGTCTAAGAGGAAAAGCTAAAGGGTTTTCATCCAGAGGCTGGAGAAGGACTCACAGAGCAAGTTTCACAAGAAGGGTGAGGGCATGTCGTGTCCTGTAGAGTTTCACCCTTTCAACCCTTACTTTCAATTAAAAAAAAAAAAAAAAAAAAAAGAGTATCTATCACCAGGAGCCGGCATTTAGCCTGGAGGCTAAGATGACTGCATCCATTATCAGAGTGCCTGGGCTGAAGTCCCAGCGCCTGCCCTGGCTCCAGGTTGTTGCTGCAGCAGACCCTGGGATACAGCACGCATGTCTCAAGTAACTGGATTCCTGCCACCCCCCGAGAGACTGGGATTCAGTTCTCAACACCCAAGGGGCACTGCAGGCATCTGGGGCATAAGCCGGCAAATAGGCACACACACTCTTTCCTTTCCAACTAAAGGGAACTTTAAATATATATATATACACGTTTCCCTAAGAATTCTATGAAACTTGAAAATGAAAGTGGACTGGGAGAGGGAGAGCACGGTCATCAAACTGAAAAACAAATGCTGAGCTGAGCATTTGGCCAAGCACATAAGCCACGGGTTGGGATGCCTGGGTTCAAGTCCCTGGGTTCAAGTCTCAGCTCCACTCCCAATTCCACCTTCCTGCTAATGCACACACCTAGGAGGTAACAGTGATATCTTAAGTAAGCTTCCCAGCTCCCAGCTTCAGCCTGGCTTAGCCTTGGCTGTTGCAGGCATTCAGGGAGTGAAGCAGTGGATGTGAGCTCTCTGTAACTGCTCTCTCTCTCTCTCTCTCTCTCTCTGACTCCCTCTGTCTCTGCCCCCCATGCCACTCTAATTTTTTAAAAAAGTAAAACATTAAAAAGTTAATCTTAACCACTTGTTGCTAAACTTAAATATTCCATAGAAATCTATATGAAGGTACTCCAAAATGCACAAATTTCCACGTACAGTATTTTCATAACAAGAATTTCCCAAGACATTTTGCACACATAATTTCAAAAATTTTTGCACCAAAATAAATTTCTCTTTTAATTCCACTTTTCCATGAACCTTTTCAAGTATCCTCATACTTGTGACTGAACCTCCAAAGCTAAACACGTGGCTCTACCGTATGGCTAGGATGTCATCACTCGTTCAGTCTAGATGTGCTAGTCATGAAAAGAAAGGTCTGCACAGCTCAAAGTGAAACAGAAGCTGTGTTCTGAGTAAATCAAATTACTTCCTGATTTATTCCAATTATAACAGTTACTTAGGCTATCTGGCATTCTTGTTCCTCCCCCACCATCACCCCCCAAAAAAATAAAAAATAAAAAAGCAGCTTTCTACTCAACCTGAACTCACCAGGCAAGCATCAGCTCATCCTTTCACTGCATCTTTCATGGATTCAACCAAAGATAAGAACAAAAGGGTTGTAGTTCTTGAGAGACCCGGATGTTGATGTGCTTTGACAGGACGTAAGAGTATCAAGTCATCGGAAAGAGTGGCAGGGCAGGAAGAGGCAGCTGGACAGGAGCCCACCAGGGCTGCAGAGGTGCTGGCAACATTCTGCATCTCAGCTGGGAGGCGAACTTCATAGTTCTCACACACACACACACACACACACACACACACAGAGAGAGAGAGAGAGAGAGAGAGAGAGAGAGAGAGAAACAGTATTTTAAATGTTTCAAAACTAAGATGAAAAAAGAAGCAAACAGACACAGCAAGACCTTTGTTTCTTTAAACGGCCACTCCCAATTTTTCAAAAGCAGAGGGTGCTTATGTATTGTTCGTCTACTTCTGAACACTCAACATCTTCAAATGACACCTCGGTGAGGCCTTCCGGGGCCTTTCCTCTGCCCACCGCTCCCATCCACGCAGCTGCGGCTTCTGATCACCGCCGCTCCCTCCATGGCCCGTGCCTGGCTCGTGTCTGTCCTCTGAAGGAAAAGAAGACTTCATCTTGCACTGTGTTTAGAACACCTACAGCAGTGTCTGGAATGCAGTGATGCTCAATACAGCTTAAATTGTTCCATATTATATTTAGGTAACTTATAAAATACCATCAACTAATGTTGCAACCAAGTCTGGTATTCAGCCTCAAATAGATTAATCCTATCCAGATGCTTCCAGTACCACTGACATATTTGAAATGATGCTGATCAGCATTTTAACTCTCGTTTGCTTTCCTGGTCGGTGAATAATTGCCACAACTGTAGATATGAGCTCATTTGAAG